ACGTCTTATCTTGTTTGACATAGTTTAAAGGCAGTTTCATAGCATGTCGGCCATGTTTAGTACTCTCCTTAGCACCTTTGTCATACTGACTTAAGTCGGTTGCTCCTCTCTGACTACATTAGGCCTGTTTCTACCAACGCAGTTTAAAGAATATAATATATTATAGGACCGTACATGTGATAACACAAACTATAGAAATCAAAGCCTTTACACGGTCTAGCTGGATCTTAATGCTTGTATGATTCTTATGTGAATTTATATACTACGTATGTAGTCCCACAGAAACGCGCGCCGAAAAATTTCCGGTCTTGAAACGCTAACTCTACTAAACTACCGCAGTAATATCACGAGTTAAAATTGACTAGCAATTTTTAACTATTTTTTGATGCTTATTCGCATCTTCTAAACGATCTTAATAATGATGAATAACATATTAAAAACTGTAAATAATTAATTCTTATTGCGAAAAATATTACCTCGGCCGGGAGTCGAACCCGGATCTCTTGCAATCCGTGCGAGCGTCCTGAGCCTTTAGACTACCGAGGCCTTAGTAATATTCTTCGCAATAATTGGCATATGAAGGAACAACGTCTCTTTAGGCGACGTAAATAAATAATATAATATATTATAGGACCGTACATGTGATAACACAAACTATAGAAATCAAAGCCTTTACACGGTCTAGCTGGATCTTAATGCTTGTATGATTCTTATGTGAATTTATATACTACGTATGTAGTCCCACAGAAACGCGCGCCGAAAAATTTCCGGTCTTGAAACGCTAACTCTACTAAACTACCGCAGTAATATCACGAGTTAAAATTGACTAGCAATTTTTAACTATTTTTTGATGCTTATTCGCATCTTCTAAACAGCAGTTTAAAGAGTTAAGTGACATTTGATTAACCAAAGTTTAGCAAAATATTGGTTTCTACCAACTTTTTCCTTTAGTTTAAACGTATATAAACTGAGTTTAAATTGAACGGCCAATTTTGGCTGTTTAGAGGCAGTTGAACTGCGGTTAAGAAATATTACTATTGTCAAAGGGGTGATCCCGATTGACCACGTCTCGATTGGACACCACCAATCACAGCGACCGGTGCTTAGGAGCTTTGTAGTGTCAAGCGCTGTGAGTAGCTTGTGTCCAATTGAGCCGTGTCCAACTGGGTGCCACCCTGTGTCAAACATGGCCTATAATCTCGTACTGTCATCTTCCGATGACGAGGATATTATTATTGAAGAATTTAATAGAAGAAAAAGAAGATTTAAACAATGTATTAATTATTTCGAGGAACGATATAGAGTTTAAAATGCGATTTCGATTTAATAAAGCATCAGTGTTAGAAGTTTTAAAAAAATATTAGAAATGAATTTTAAAATTCGGGGCTGACAAGTAAATGAAAAAATTATAAAATAAATTTATAAATAAAAAATAATAAATAAAAATAAAAATAAAGATAATAA